CGGCGTAACCGCGCGGTGCATCATGGGAAATGTCCCATAATGCACCGCGCGAGCCCCCCACCAAGGTCACGTGACCTCGTGGGGGGTCACGTGACCCCCCGAAGTCACGTGACTCCCCTGAGGTCACGTGGCCCCCTCCTCGAGGTCACGTGACCCCCACCGATGTCGCGTGACCCCCCGATGACGTCATCGTCACTGATGACGTCACCGGCATCCACATTGTCATCGTCATCATCACTGATGACGTCACCGGCATCCACATCGTCATCGTCATCATCACTGATGACGTCACCGGCATCCACATCGTCATCGTCATCACTGATGACGTCACCGGCATCCGCATCGTCATCGTCATCATCACTGATGACGTCACCGGCATCCACATCGTCATCGTCATCATCACTGATGACGTCACCGGCATCCACATCGTCATCGTCATCATCACTGATGACGTCACCGGCATCCACATCGTCATCGTCATCATCACTGATGACGTCACCGGCATCCACATCGTCATCGTCATCACTGATGACGTCACCGGCATCCGCATCGTCATCGTCATCATCACTGATGACGTCACCGGCATCCACATCGTCATCGTCATCATCACTGATGACGTCACCGGCATCCACATCGTCATCGTCATCATCACTGATGACGTCACCGGCATCCGCATCGTCATCGTCATCATCACTGATGACGTCACCGGCATCCACATCGTCATCGTCATCATCACTGATGACGTCACCGGCATCCACATCGTCATCGTCATCATCACTGATGACGTCACCGGCATCCACATCGTCATCGTCATCATCACTGATGACGTCACCGACATCCGCATTGTCATCGTCATCATCACTGATGACGTCACCGACATTCGCATCGTCATCGTCATCATCACTGGTGAAGTCATCAGTGACGTCACTAATGACGTCATCGGTACCCGCATCGTCATCGTCACTGATGACGTCATCAGTGACGTCAGTGATGACATCATCGGCATTGGGGGTCACGTGACCCCCAAGGTAACGTGACCCCCCCTGGTTAGTTTAACCCCCCCCCAGTGCCCTTCCCTCCTCCTCCTCAAGAGCTGCGCTCTAATTCGGCGTTACAGGGAGTTGTAAGCGGCTTTCATTTTTTTTTTTTAATTAATCATTTTATGGCCCATGTTTACGTTTAAGAAATGGAGACAATCAATGTTGAAGGCCAGCCCAGTTTTTGAAACTCCTAAGTCGAGCACGCTGTTGAACTTGTTTATTGTAAAATTTTGTTCTGGAAATTCCTTGATACCGAAACGAAACGCGGTACGCCCGCCGGAAAGATAACCATCGTTTGACGCCGGAGGGAAAGGCGTTTTTCAGTGACATCGAGCAGCAAAGCAACGGAACTTGTGGCTGCCGTTAAGATGACTCATCGCTTCATTTCGCCAGCCACCGAACACCGGGCGAAATCAGCTGCGGCGTGCTTTGGCGCAAAATAGTGACGCAAATTACGTAATTAACACGTGACCCTTCGGTGTCAAACGAGGGTTGTCCTTCCAGCGGGCATCGGGCGTTTGTTTTCGGTATCGATATATTTCCGGAACAACATTTGACAGTTGAATAACTCCAACAGCGTGATCAATCTAAGATTAAAAAGAAAAAAAAAAAAAGAAGCTTGCTTGGCTTTTAAATGGGCGATGCAACAATTTTTGTTCTTTGCGCAAATACCGCTTAGAACGGATCCCTGACGTTAATGACCTATGAAACACGCGTTCGTTTTTTACCCCACGCAATAGAAGTCCCAGAAAAAAAATTAAAAAAAAAAAAAAACGAGCAGCTTTTACTTCCTCAACTCGCTGCAAGAACAAGCGGCCACGTGATCAGGAGCCGATTATATGCCGCCATTGTTGATCATAGCCGCGCGCTGGGATTGGCAAAGCACGGGACACGCGCTGAGTTCCAGACATTTTTATGTCTCGGCTATTGTCGTCGTTGCAGCGTTTGGACACGGGCCACTTCCCGAATGCTTCTCGATCTGGTAATTATCACGAGTCCAAACCGAGTGCCCAGGCAATGCTCGGGTCCAATCTATGAACCGCATTCAAATATCGTCATTGGGGTGTACTGCGAACCCTACGTTACGTCATCAAATTTTACGAAGGAGAGATTAAATGAAAATGATCGCGTTTGTCCTTGAAATTACACCGCAACAATGGAGTTTCTTGGCCAGTGGCGTTGCGTGCGAGTATCCTTGAGTCCCTTGAGTAAGCTCGTGTCAAGTGAAAAACATTCCAATAGAATATCGTTGCACCGCCCCTTTTACATCTTTTGGTTGCATTCTCTTTTGAAATTAATGTACAACTGGCCGTATAATTCACTTCCACGGGCCGCATTCGTGTAGCTTTCGTGGCTTACTTTTAGAACAATCTGTATTCGATAAATAAAACAATTCCCAGGAAGAGCTATCCAATTACAAAATGTACGATAGACACAAATCAAATTATTTCCACATCACCGAATATTCAGGTTCCGCCAGAATGTACCATTAGCTGTTTTGAGATCAGGTGCCAAAATTAGGGGACTAATTAGTTTACAGCTGAGCTGTTAAGGGCTAGGTTCCCCAGTTTCGTGTCCGTGGACAAATAAATTTCGACACAATCCCGTGGACAAACTACCGCCATCTATGAGCGACAGCGCCAACCAGACAACCGGATTGCCTCTTGGTTGGTTGCCGCCGTCGCTCATAGATGGCGGCACACTGTACCAACTCCGCTGCTCTTCCTTCTTCACCAGAATGGGTAGGCTGAAAGTTTTGATTTGAACCAAGGGTTATAGATATTTTTCGGGAATTTCCGGTGAGAAATTCGGGCCGATTTTCGGCAGCAGATGCTTTTAATGTCCCTGTATCCCCGGGAGTCACTGGGAGCCATGTTCACCAGCAGAGAAAGACTTCTCACTAGCGGGCCTTGAGGCGAACCAGACTAAGACCGTTCATCGCCGGCGATATTCTGTTTCTACACGGCGACCTAGACAAGTGAAACCTGTGCGTGTGTCCGTTATCTTTTTTTTTTTTTTTTGTGCCGACAAATGGCGAGCGTTTGCATAGTATGTGGCTTGGAGCACGCGGTTGCGGGCAGTAACGTTGGTTGCGGGTTCGTGCTGAAAACTAAAACCGACAGGTTTTGCTATTATTGAATATTGTGGTAATTCTCTAGTGGTGTACGCGCGTCTTGTCTCGTATATACCGTATTTACTCGAGTAATAGCAGCACTGTTTATGAAGAAAACCTGAGTGTTAGCTTTTCCGCGGAGCACGCAGATAGCCAATCACCGCGATCTACGGCATGAGTTCAGCTGTTTACAGGGCAGAGATTACGTTTCGTGCGAAGATACCATCTGTATAGATTGCATCTGTATGGAGACTCGTGTTCTCGATCTGGTTATTCGCTATGTTATTCATGCGCAATGCAATGATTGGCTGTATTTGTGTTCTGTGTGAAAGGAGACGCAAAGGCCTTGTTCATAAATAGTGCGGCTATTACTCGAGTAAATACGGTACGAGTATTCCGCTGAGGTGAATGACCGCCTTTCCATTCCCACTTTTCTTATCGTTTGAGCTATATAAAATAACGCAATGCTACCAGTTTGTCCTTCATTAATTTTCATGTATACAAAACACGTGTCTTCTTAAAATAACTATTACAAAACAAAATTAAAAAAAAGAAATATATTGCTTCCTTTTTAGCACATCTTCTGGGCAGAATATCGTAGACTTCCAGGACGATCTCATAACTGCGGTCATCTTGCCAGCGAGGCGAAGTGTCTCTTGAACGACGATCGCTTATAATATAAATTCTATAAAACAGAATACAATAAAATGACTTCCATCGCATTCTAACTTGAATATTTATTTGTGCAAAGAAAAGCAAACGGCTTTTAAACTACGCGTTTTTTTTTGTTTTTTTTCTTATGCAAGTGTGATGTTACGATGTAAAAGGAATGCGCGAACTACGGGTAGTGCGGTTCCCAATTTGGCGGTTGCGGTTCGGATGCGGGTACAATAATTTAAGAACATTCCGGATGCGGTTCGAATGCGGATTTGCGCAGGGCTCAGCATATGGACACTTTTAAGCGCGATCCAAACCAACGCTTCTTTTTGCGCCTGTAGGTCGTGCGGCTGCGGATGTGACGTATTTTCGTGACGTCGCGCCGCTTCTTCGCTCCTTCCGGGCGCGCACAAGAAAGTTGGTTGATTTCAACTTCTTTCTCAACGCGCACAAAAACGTGCGGTGACGTATAGGGCGCTCCTGTGTCCCGGCCAATCGGTGGAGGGCAAGCTAGTTCCGGCTCCGCGTTTCTCGCCGTCTGGCTGCCCTCTCCCCCCCCCCCCCCTTTTATTCTCTTCCAACATGACAACGCGATCTCTCTCTCTCTCTTTCTCTCGCCGTCTGGCCGGCCAGTCTGTCGCAGTTGCACTGGTTGCACTTTGCTTGTGCGCTCGTGCCTGCGTGCGCGCGTGCGCGCTCGCCCGAAGTTTCGCCCGTCCAAACCAAAGCGCACGGTTCTGACTCAGAAAGCGCGCCCGGAAACAGCGAAAACGCCACGAAATGCGTCACATCCGCAGCCGCACGACCTACAGGCGCAAAAAGAAGCGTTGGTTTGGATCGCGCTTTAAGCAGCTGTGCGTAGGCGCCGCCAAACCGACCTTCAGTTTTTGTTTCCTTTTCTTCCGTTCACTTCATGATTACCACAACAGGACAGTTCAATGCCATAATAGATTCTACTGTGCCCTTCTCCCCAGCAACGGCCTTTGTGAATGCTTGTAAACGCCCGTTGCAATGGCTCGGCATCTCGGAAGGAGAAGGTCACCGATGGCGTCTGTAATTTGGCGCCTGTTTGAAGCGTAGTTACTCGAGCCGTCACCAGCCGGCGCGCTCTCCGCGCCGCCATGGGCGACCTTCATTCGCCTACCTCGCGTGCCTCGCAGTCGGCGCCGCGCCCGCTGCCGTTCTGCGCGATGGGTGACCTTGACACGACGCGTAAACCGCGTCCAGCCGGCAAAACCTGTTCTGTGGTAGCTTGCAAAAACTGCAGTGGCGATATCAAAGTATGGAACCACGCTGTATGCTCTGAGCATGCTCCACTGACTCACATGGACTGCCCATGCTTGGTGCCATTTTCCATGCATCGGTTCCCGAACGGAAAGCAGAATGAAGATCGACGTCGCAAGTGGTTGGCGAATTTGAACCGTAAGAACTTCCATCCCGGCAAAACTGCAATGGTAAGCGCCGCTACTTAGATGTCACGGCTGTTTCGTGCACCGCGGGCCGTCGTACTGTTTTCGCCAGTTTCGCTCGGTTTTCGGACGCGCAGTCAACTGGTGAGGCGCCGAATGTTGCCACTTAAGTTTACATGGCAAATGGGTTCATTATAGTGCACTAATAATTTGTACAGTGGATTAAGCTGAGTGAGAGAATTTACACAAAGCAAAAATCACGGATTCGTAAACAGTGTCCCGGCGTGTAACAGACTCTGCTCACTTGCTTCAGGGCTGCACTTTTTTAACGCTTGCTCTCATTTGAGTCCCGCAGATAAGCTTCGTACCCGAGCAAGCCAACCATGCACGTATATGAAGTTGTATGAGGCAGAGCTAACCAGTTGCAGCTACAACATTTTTATACGAAATCCGAGCTGGTCTGTGCACCACTCACGCAAGTTGCAGCTTCCAAAGCTTCATCTCTGGATAACATGTATTCGTTTGGGATTTCGAAGCACTAGGGACGTACTCAGAAGCATTTCAGGAGAATCGGGAAAGGTAAAACTTGTATTTCATGCTTTCTCCACAGAAAGACAACAAGTCAGCCTGATGCAGGCATTGTCTAGCTTTTAGGGAAAGTAGGACACTGAAACCAACTTCAGTGAATCTGTATGCAAATTGCTTATGGCTCTCGCAGGTTTGTTCAATCCATTTTCCGGACGGAAGGCCGACCTCAATGAACCCATACCCGACTCAACATCTGGGAAAGACAAACATGGTAAGCGTAACAGTTTCTGCAAGACTATTATGAGTGTCATTGGTGGCAAGAAATAAGCTTTTTTTTCTTCTTATCCGTACTTTTCTGTTAAAACAGAGAGTGCCACACAAGGGTGGGATAAAGGCGGCGAGCTGCTCAACCCAACGCATCGTGTCCACTGTAAAGCCACCATCCAGTCTTGTCGTAAAGCAAGAACCAATGGAGCCCACTGTTAGTCCGACTCCGTCACCTTCCGCCCTGGATAGCGACAGCGCTGTTCAAGATCACGATACCTTGCTGGGGATCTAAAACGTGCATCGACACACACAGGTTTACTGCTAACATTGTTGGTCCGACTACAAAAAAAAAGAAAAGAAGAGCAATGAGTGCCGTATGAGAAAACTCTGCGGTTGTTATCGTGACACCTGAAGTTTTATAGTTGAGGCTGCGCAATTAACCTTCACGATGTACGAAAGCCTTCCCTACAAACAGTCTCGTGGTTTTACAATGCTGACCAAACCTTCATTTGAGGAATATCTGTGCATAGCAACTTCTCTTGTGAACTCATCACTTCAGATGCCCGTCAAAGATAAAATCCTGCTCACCTTGATGCGGCTTCGCAAGGGCTTGCTGCCCGCAGACTTGGCATTTCATTCTGACGTGTCGACTGCTTTAGTCAGCTTCATCTTTTCCTTTTGGATCCCCCATGTGGCCCAGCTGTCCAGAATGCATATATGCTTTGCAGCAGCTGTGCATGGGCGCTGCCATAACCAACACTCAATTGTTGTTTCCTCTTATTGCGTTTACTTCACTTCATCATCACCACAGAAGGGCAAGTTATTGCCATCTTACAGTTGCTTTAGGCAAATGCCAGAGTGAGCCGTTATTGTCGACCTTCTTTTGTCTTACCAAGATGCCGAGCCACTCAGGCGGGCGTTGAAGAGCTTCCACAAAGGCCTATGCTGGAGCGAAGGACACAGTAGCACCTAAAGCGGCAATAACCTGTCCTGCTGTGGCGATGATAAAGTGCATGAAGCAAACAGAATAAAAGAAAACAAGAACTGAAGCTCGGTTATGGCGGCGCCCATGCACGGTTGCCTGAAAGCGTCTATGAACCTCCCATGAGAGACGGCACCTAAAATGCCATTTACGTCAAATGACATTCAGATTTTCAAATGGCTTTCAAAATGGGACTCCTGGGACCTGCCAGACGACAACTCAAATGGCATTAGTGACGTTTATTTCGAACGCGGTTGCAAAGTCGACTCGGACACACAGAGAACGTTTGCGTCACTCATGGCGTCAATGAACAATTTTAACGCGGCGAAACATTATTTTCGTGTTGTCTGCTGAGACTACAAATAGAACAGAAAACTGGGATATAAAGTTTCGCAGAATAATTTTAAATATATTCGATTTCTAACGAAAGCTAGATGTTCTGTGACAATCTAGACGCGAAGCTTCGGCCGAAATCGATTAGACAACGTAACTACAGTATACTAGTACACGAGGTGGAGTTTGGACTTGAGGCGCTCGCGTGATGGACGTGGTGTAGATCGCGACAGCTGGTGGCACTAGCCGCTGCAGTGTTGTGCGCGTGCGTGCCGCGATGAGCGCGAGAATTCGAAATTTACAGGTCAGTCGGGATTAGTTGCGATGTGAATTCGCGTGAGCGACGCTGCGGCACGGCATTTGTCAACGTCGAGTTTCAGTGTTGCGTACAAGTATAATACGTTCTGACTCTATATCAGTTGATTTCGACTCTTGATTGTACCGCATAGACTCTGGAGCCACTAAATAAGCTTATTTGCTGGCTCTTGTTGCAGAGAAGGAACGGTGGCCGAGTGTGCAAACGCTGTGCTGCCGTGTGCAAACGTGTGCTGCCGACGAGAGTATGATTTGCGAGCCGTAACTGAGTTTGGGGAACTCACTTTATCTAAAATTACACTTACATTAAATGCCATTTGAGTTGCCATGCGGCACTGCCTAAATGACGCTTGCACTGTATGTCATTTGGCGTACATGCCATTTTAGGTGCCGTCTGACAAGGGTGTTAGATTCTACTGTGTCCTTCTCCCCAGCATTGGCCTTTGTGGAAGCTCATCAACGCTCGTTTCACTGGCTCGGCATCCGGGTAAGACAATAGAAGGTCAGCAGTGGCGGCTGTAATCTGACGCGTGTACAAAGCGTCTGTTACACGTTTTGGTTGCCCACGGACACAATTCGGATGACATTGCCAGATGTGCTAAAGTATCCGCCGCGGACGACGTTTTATCGCAGAGGCGGGTTTAGGGGGAAAGAGGGTTGAGGGTAACCTTCTACCTTAAAAGGACACTGATACCCCCCAAAAAATGTATTTATTTTTTGGCAATCGATTCGTTATGATGTCAGAAGAATACGCAACCAATAGTTTGCTACTGCGACACGTATGTTTTTAATAAAGTCAAAAAACGCAACTGCTCGAAACCGAAATTGAAACTGGACTGGGGAGGAAGAAGAAATATAGAAGAGGAGAAAGTTACCAAAAATATCAAGGCTGTGCAACTTCTTTTTTTTTTTTTTTTTAGTTAAAGTATTGCAGTTTTTTTAAAAGCAATAAAGAATGGGTATCATTTTTCTGTCTTTTTTTAGTATTGTGAGAGCGCCTTCGATGACCCACCATTTTGATTATCTTTGGTGGTTGTGTCTCAACCATAGAAGACGGCACGTGACCACGGCGAAGAGAGTGAGCGCGACTCAAACCGCGGCCAGTTCTCGGTCGGCGGTTTTCGGCGGAAAGAAAATTCATTTCGAGCCGCAAATTGTGTTCTGGGTAGTTGCGCTCTGATATGTCATGTACAAATAAAAACCTTGATGAGCATATATACCCTGTCATCGTCCCTTTAAGGCCACAATGTCAACTTTCTTTAATGAAAAAATTGATTACACCAGCGAAAATTTTAGTTTTTGGTGACATAGCAAATATTGGGTCAACAAAATAGATTTGGAAAAGTTTCGGCCGTAACGTAATATCCCAGCAAACCCCTCGCCAGTCAAATGCCTCCGGTACCCCCCCCCCCCACCCCTCCCCCCCCCCCCTCCGGTACCTCCCCCCCCCCCCCCCACACGCACACACACATACACCAAGCCTGACCCATAAATTCGCCCCTGTGATGTATGGTCGACTGCTATGAAGTTTTCTCGCACAGGCCGCAGAACCTCATAACGTGAGGAAATTTGTTTAACTTTTATAAGAGCCATAACACCGTGAAGGTGCTTCATACGGTGGCACCGAATGGGTTCATCGTGAATGGTTCAGAAGCCTACGGAGGACGCGCAATCGACTGCTTCATCACGATCAACACTGGCTTAATGACCTCCTTGAGTATGGGGATGAAGTGCTTGCCGACAGGGGGTTAACCATTTCTAATGTCCTCTCAACTGCAGTAGAGCTCGCGCTGCCTTGCTTTACAAAGGGGAAGCAATCTGCAGCACGTTATGTGGTGGTGTCCCAAAAGCTCGCCAAACTGCGAATACATGTCGAGCGACCTATCCGTCGGAAGAAGTGTTTCCGAATATACTGCAGCATGTGCCGTCCTCTTTTCTAGACAAAAGGAAAAAGAATTATATCTCTGCTATTGTAATTACTATCGCTGGACTCTCCGACGTAGAGCCTGCTCCGATAAAGGGGCTAGAACAAAAGAAAATGCCTGAGCGGGGTGTATTACCACCAGCGATATGCTAAAACGCGTGAGCGGCGACCTCGGCCGCCTCGTCCGACGGAGAAGTGTACACCGGTATACCTCAAGTTCCTGCCCTGTCTTAATACACGCTCTTAAAGTACGACGCCTTGCTCTTTCCTGCACCAGTTAAGGAGGTGCAAACAAAAAGAAAAAGCCTATTAAGTGCACTTCTCATAATTAGTCGCTTGACACTTCTGAAATGGGAGTATTCTCCAAAGCTATACGGCCCCATTCTCATAGCCTTTCTTGCATGCCCTTTTAAAGGAAAATAGGTATGTTATAGATATAAGTGCATCTAAAATCACTACCAGTGGCGTACACAGGGGGGGGGGGGGGGGGGGGGGCGAAGGGGCCGCGGCTTCCTCCGAAATTTCCGAGGGGGGGGGGGGGGGGGGGGGAGTCGGCGAGGTTACTGACTCTCGGGTTTATCAATATCAAACTTCGTGGAGAAGTTGTAAAAAAAAAAAAAAAGGAAATAAAAAAGGAAGGTAATGCAATATACCATTTATGACATAGTAAAAATAATAAAAAAAATGTGTAGTTTTAACGTCTTTTATCTAATATGACTGTGAATGAATCAATTAAAGAATATCTTTCTTTACTTCTACTTTTATTGTTTCGCGAGTGCCCCATGTCCCTCTCGCGAAGCTGCCAGGGCTGGTTTGTCGTCGCCACGGAGCGGTCGCCGTGTCCCCCGACTTAATTGTTCCTCGAGGACCCCGCCCTGGGTGCGTACCATGCGCTGTGCCTCGCTCGAGCGCAGCGGGACCCCTCGATGTTTTGCAGCCTTTTTTTTTTTTATTTTGAGAAGAAGCGTCGGTACTGCTCTTGCACCCCGACGAGGGGTTTTTCCTTGAAGCGGTGTCCGGCTGACGGTCGACACTTGGCGAAGGTTTTTAGGAGTTTTCGGGGGTCTATGCACGTGTCCTTTCTTAATTGGATTTTGTATTGTATGTGTTTGTTTTGTACCGCGTGGCTCCCATTGGTCTAAAAAGAGCGATATCTGATTGGCTCCTCGGATGGCGGGAAAAATCTTAGAAACGTAAATATAGGCGCCTAAAAGCGCGGGATTTGCGATTCAAGGTTCGAGTATGAAAGTTGTCAACCGCGCGAGATAGGGGCGCGAGTGTGCGACCTGCTGCCTCAGGACGAGAGCCAAGTGCAATATGTGAGTGTGCAAACCATTTTACATCGTCCCTTTGTTGCGTTGTGTGACTTCCTTGACTTTCTTTTGTGAGCGAACTTCGGAAACCTTAGAAATCGACACCAACGAATATATCACGTCAGATTTTTGTTGGTTAGATCAGGTTAAGATTAGGGAGTACTTTATGGTGGAGCAGCTTTCCAGTGCTTATCGTCTATCCATCAAGATGTTCCGCGTTTCTACTTATGCATCATTGTTTTATCATCCCCGATGACTGGAGGCTTTGCGCATTGGAGTCGTGTTTCACAAAATATTTGTTTTTATGATTCTTGTTTTCTGCTTATCTGGTGCCTTCTTTTGACGTGACTTGTAAATAAAAAAAGTGAAATGCAAAGGCCTTCGTCGTGGGGAATTTCCGGGGCATCATTTTTATGTATCATAATGATCCCAAAACCAATATGACAACTTTATTTGAATTACTTAATAAAAGAATGCATAGTTATTAGAAAAAATGAACATGCTTTTAATTTCTCTTGGACTTTCTTTTCCTTTTATCTTGCCCCCCTTTACTCTCGTTGGTCCGGCCCCCCGCTAAATGAAATCCTGCGTACGCCACTGATCACTACTATCTCCTAAAATGATTGTCCTGTAGTTATGTTTGTATATATGTACAAATATTCACATCTGTAGTCTGCAGCTGCCTTGGTAATGCTGCAAGAAAACATTCGTACCAATAAGAAAGCTTTACAACAAATTTCCAATTTGTCAATTTTTTTTAAATTTTTGTTTTTACATATGACAATGATCTTAAAAGAGTCTTCCAAGAACACTTGAAATAGGCCGGGTTCGAGATTCCAATAAAAATAGCCTCTTCTAGAGTAGAAATATTGAGCAACTTTTTTTGTTTTTGTTTTTCCTTTTTTAACCGGCTTTGTGTTTTTGGTTAAAACCAGAAAGCGTAC